TCAGGGGGATGCCCAGCTCCGCGGCAACCTCCGCAAACTTACGATGCTCGTTCGACTCGAGGAACGTGCGGTCATTCAGCTTCTCGGAAATGTGCTGGACCCTACGGATGTAGTCAAGCCCGTCCATGCGCGCGACGGCTACATTCCGGGGTGGTGGCAGCCTCTGCTGGCGGTTGAGCTCCTCGCGGCGGCCTGCTTCCACCAGGCCGAACGCGAAGCGCCGGGCCATGTTCTGCGTGATCTCAACAGCAAACGATGCCCCCATCGGAGCAGACCGCATGCAGACGAACACTTCCTTGTTGGGGCCCCCTCCGTAGGCTGAGTGTGGCGCTTCGAGCGCGCGCAGTGCCCCTTCCAGCAGGGGAGGAGCTCGAACGGGCTGGAGCAACTCTCCATGTCCTCCGACTCCACCAAGATCGCCTCGTCTGGCTCGAGCGCGCGAACGTCAGCCGGCCCAGAAAAAGGCAAGCACGTAGCATCGCTGCGCACCCTGCGGAGGTACGCGTTGAGGGGGGTGAAGACGCTGATGAAGCGAAGCAGGGTTACCTCCTGGCCCTCGATTGCCTCCGCCTCGTCCACGCCCATTGCGCCCTGCAAAATCATCTGCCCGTTGCCGTCTGTAAACGCGCCCTGTTCCTCGACTTCCTAGAGAATCCCGAGCCGCGCGCCCGCCGTGACCAGTGAATGCCATTCATGGTCAGACGCGTGCGCTCTCGACCATGGAAGGCAAGGGGGCCGCTATGACGGCGGGAGAAGGCGCCGCTCCGGGCAGAGGAGGTCGCCGCGGAGCTCTTCCGACGCGAACTCCGCGACAAGGGGGGCGCGCGCATGGCCCGTTCTCGGCCTCGCGGGGATAGGCCGCGCGCACTCTAATTAATTCGCGCCGCTTGGTCCCCGCGTCCCCGTAATGTCCGACGATCCTGCTCTCGAGGTCATCGGCAGGGGAGCCGATGTCGAAGTTGCCTGGCGGCCCGGCCGGCACGTGGCCCACGGGTTCCGCGACGTGCTGGACCGCGAGCCGTTGAGCTGGCGACAGCTCCGGCTTGTGCCCAGCGCGCGCGGGCGCCGCCGACCACCCGGCGCAGGATTCCAGGCATCCACCGCGAACCGCGCAAGAGCGACGAAGTGCCGCTGCGCCTGGGCCGGTTCCTCCGAAGCGAGCGCTTCGAGCTGAGCCTCGGCTGCCTCAGGGTTGATGGGTGGGAAGGTCCCGGGGCCGCCCGGCGAGATGCTGAAGGCGGGGCAGGCTGAACAATTCACGAGCGCGCGCGTGGCCTGCGAGGCCTTCCTGCTCCCCGCCACCCTGGCAGCTCTTCTTTCGACTCGCTCAGCTTCCGGGCTGACGGCCCGAAACGGGTCGGGGGCTCCCCGGCGAAAGCGGCGAGAAGCGCGCCGGCGTCGGCCCACGCCTCGCAGCCGGCGGCTGCCTCGCGGAGCTGGCGCCGCCAAGAGGCCAGCCCCCCAGGCCCCGCCGCTCCGGCGCTCAGGGGCCCTTGCCGCCTTCTTGCCCTTCTGCGCGCCGCCCTCGCTCCAGTGGTGGCCCCCTGTCCAGGGGTCGCCCTGTCCTCGCCCCCCAGTCTTCGCGCGCGAGCTCCAACCGCTGTCGGAGCATTCGGGCCCTCGGTTCGAGAAGAGCCTGCTCTGGAGCTTCGCCTCCTCGACCGCTGCGAGCTCCATTCGCTGTCCACGATCGCCGAGTCGGGGGGCTCGATCAGCTCCGCGTACTGCGCCTTCTCCCAGGAGCCCGTCTTGTGCGCGAGCTCCAGCGACCCCAACCTCTGGGCCTCGACGTCCGCCGCCTTCCGGCGCTTCCCGAGACCGAGGTAGTCGAGGCACGCGGCTACTGTCGGCATCTCCTTGGCGCTGCGGATCTTGAGGCCGGTCGGCTGCAAGAACTGGACGTAGTAGCTCTTCGCGGGCCCTGCAGGGTCCGGCGGGCCCCAGTGCTGCGCCACGCCGCCGCGGCCCAAACGATCCCCCACGCGCCGGAGTGCCCGGGCCGCTAGCTCTCCCTCGTGGGCCGTGGCGACGGAGAGTGTCCACCCCGGCTCTTTGACGACGAGGCGAAGCGAAGAACCGACCTGTCGGAGCCGTCGCTGCGCGAGCGCCCCCGCTGCGCCTCCGCCAGCAGTCGACCGAGCTGCTGCGGCGGCGGGCGTGGTTTTGGCGCTCGCCCCCAGCGCGCTCGCCCCCTGGGCGCCGCGGGCTCTCGCCGCGCTGGCCGCGGCTCCGGCTGCGAGGGCGCTCGCCCCCTGCGCGCTCGCCCCAGGAGCGGCGCGGGTTCCCGAGGGCCTGGCCGCGGCTCCGGCTGCGCTGGCGTTCGCACTTGCTTTCGCCTCCTCCTTCGCGCCTCCGGGTCAATTGGGCGCGGCGTGGGCGGCTCGGGCTCCGGCCCGGCCGGCTGGCGGCGCCCCCGTGGCTCCCAAAGCTGAGGCACTGCCGGTAGGACTGGTCCCGCTCGCGCCCGGAGCTGCGCGCGCGGCCAGGTCTCCTGCCGCGGTCCCGCGCCCGGCCGCCACCCTTGTCCTCGCCGCCTGGCTGCTCCAGCTCGTCGCGCAAGGCGGCCAAGCCAGCGCCGACCTGCCCCGCTGGCGGGCGGGTGAGCTGAGGTCTCCGGCCGTCCTTCTTGTAGTCGTCCTTCTCCTTGTCCTTATAGTCGCCCTCGCCGTTGTTCTCGCCGTCCTTCCTGCCGTTGTTCTGGTCATCCTCCCCGCCGTCCTCCGTGGCCTTCCTGAGGGCGGCCTTGGTGAGGGCCGCGGCCTCCTTGAAGCCGTCGTCTTTGAGCCACTTCACGGCCGCGAAGTGCGGCCAAACAGCCTTCGGGTTGAACACCCGCCACCGGTCTGAAGAAATGACTGGGCGCTGGCCGTTGTGCTCCTCCGACTCGTCCCCCTTGCCGGCGGTCTGCCGCCAGAGCCCTGGGTTCGGGTGGCCCTTGTCCTAGAAGGGCCACCACGAGTAGTACTCGCCGTTCGCCGCCACGCACTCCGTCTCGAGCGGGCGCTTCTTTTGGCCCGGAGCCTGGATCACGGGGATGACCATGCCCTGCGCCTTCCCGTTCTCGTCGTGCACCTGGCACTCCACGACGTCCCCGGGCCGCCACGGTACTGCGGCAGCCTCCGGGTCTAAGCCTGGTGATGCCCAAGGCCCCGCGGCTTCCCGGACTCGCCATGCCCGCAAACGCGTATCGCAAAACTGGCAAGTTATCGGACGACCCGATGACAGAAAACCCGAGTGTACACTCTTGATCAAATGGCTGCGGCGCGCACGCGCGGTGAAGGAACTGGAAAGATCATGCTGAGTGGGTCCTGCTTGGCCCCCATCCCACCCAAGTCAAATGTTTCAAATTAAGAATTAGATAATATGAACAACAGCAGCAACACCAACAACACCACCAACAACAATAACAACATCACCGACAACAGCTGCAGCAACAGCAACAACAACAACTACAACAACAACGACTTCCACCTGATACTTTTTCGCAGTGTATTCCGCAATCGCGCTCTCGCGCGGGACGTCCCCACTATTTATGCAGGAATCTCGCTCTCGCGTGGGACTTCATCGCAACTTAACTTCAGACGCCGCGCTCACGACACTCAGGAATCACGCTCTCGCTTGAGCTTTTCTCACGATTTACTTGGGAATCGCCCGATCGCTCGAGACTTCCTCGCTCACGCTTCAGCAACCCGCCTGCTCGACCCGGCCGCCTGGGCCCGCCTCCCCGACCCGCGCGCTGGGGTCTGCCCGCCTGGTCTGCCGTCTGGTTGCCCCACGAGCTTTCTGCTCCTAGCCCCCCTCCTGCTAATTTCTCTCGTGCTCCATCATCCTTCTTCCCCCTTCCATCCGTCCTCCCTTCCCTCGTTTCAGGGGCTGCACTACCTGCACGTGGCAGGTAAGAAAGATGTACACCCAATAGGGTACAATCGACGACAAAAAGGGCGGGTACCAAGGGTTCGGGATATACGTGTTGAATGGCACGCGGGCTGGTCGGTGCGAGCAGTCTTAACATGACTGTTGTTGTTGCTGCTGTTGTTGTAGTTGCTGTTGTTGTTGCTGCTGTTGTTGTTGCTGCTGTTGTCGTTGTCGTTGTTGTCGTCGTCGTTGTCGTTGGTGTTGCTGCTACTGTTGCTCTTGCTGTTGCTGTCGTTGCTGTTGGTGGTGGTGTGGTGGTGATGCTGTTGTGGTTGTTGTTGTGATTGTAGTTGTGCTTGGTGTTGTGGCTGCTGTTGCCTTAGCGTTGCGCGTGGCGCACGTGTGCCCACGTCTCCCACGGACAGGGCCCGAGCAGGGTGAGGTCGGGACAGCGCACCTCGCGACCGAGGCACCTCGCGAAACCTCGGGCAATGCCGGGCAGGCTGGAATCTGGCACCAGACCGCGCATACAGCGGCCATGCGGCACGATCAAGCACCCGACCCCAATCTCCGGTGGGGCACGGGAGGCGGCCTTCCGAGAAGGCACGCGGCTTTCTGGGAGAAGATCAAGGAGGTCTCCTCCCTCCTCCTCCTCCTCCCTCCTCCTCCTCCTCCTCCTCCCTCCTCCTCCTCCTCCTCCTCCTCCCTCCTCCTCCTCCTCCTCCTCCTCCTCCTCCTCCTCCTCCTCCTCCTCTCCTCCTCCCTCCTCCTCCTCCTCCTCCTCCTTCTCCTCCTCCTCCTCCTCCTCCTCCTCCTTCTCCTCCTCCTCCTCCTCCTCCTCGGAGAACAAGCTCAGGTCTGGCACACGCGCGGGTCTCGCCGACCGCCATGCGGGCCGCTCGCGGAGATCCCCGAGGCGCGGCGGCGCGCCTTCGTGTTTGGCCTGACTTGTCCAGGGGCCAGGGAGCGGCCCTCTGGGGGCCGAGCAGGGCTGCATCGCGGGCCGCCGCGATGCCTGCCCGCGGCGACCAGGTCCGAGGGAAGACCGCGGAGAACGGCACTCCGTGCCGCTCTTTTCTGCGTCGAGCCGCTCTGGCCCCACCTGGGCGGCCTGGAGTCGAGGTCTGGGTGGCCCGGGGTCAGAGCTAGCACATCTGGCACGTGGCCCGGCAGTAGACCTTCGCCGTGGTGTCCGCGACCACCCGCACCGGGCGGCGCGCGCCGCGGAGGCGGCCCGCGGTGGCAGGCGCCGTGTCCACGATGCCCCCGCCGTGGCAGGCGACCTGGACCGACGTCTTCCCCGACGCGATGGCGAACCTGTAGATCTCGCAGCCGTCGCCGTCCGCGTCCCTCCACAGGGGGTCGTCGATGCAGCCCCGGCTCTTGGCAAGCTCGTGCGCCTCCTCCAGCAGCGCGGTCTCGTTCATCTTCGCGTTCGCCTCGGCGATCTGCTCGGAGTGGTGGTCGAACGCGTGGGCCTCCCAGTCCTGGAAGCTCTTGTCCACCGCAACGCCCGTGGCCGTGCTGACGTCACCCTGAACGAGCATGATCTGGTCCTTCAGCGGCGCGCCCAGGGGGGAAGTGAGAGGGGGCAGGCCTTTTCAGAAGGCGGAAGGGCTCCTCAGAAGTCCTCCGGCCCTCCGAAGCCTTCCGGCCTTCTGACACGCCTGCTGTGTCTCCGAGGGAGACTCAGAGCGCTTCTCAGAAGGCCCCAGGCCTTTCCGAACCTTCCGAAAGGCCCGCCCCCCCTCGCTTCCCCCCCTTTCAGCGGGGACCGACCGTCCTGGCATTCCTACAGTCCTGCCACGAAATGTTTTTAGAACCCCAGAATGTTCTAAGAACCCACGACGTGTGCTTATGCACCTAGGGCTATATGCGAGCCAGGACGCTTCGCCACTGCTTCCCCCCCTGGGCTCGCCGCCGAGTCCTCGTAGCTGACCGGCTCGGAGATCCCCGCCTCCTGCGCCCCGCAAGGGCCGCCCCTCGGACAGGACCTGCCCGGCGGGAGGACGCCGGCCTCGCCCGCGCCGGCCTCCTCGCCCGCGGCCGCGGCGGCGGCCTCGGAGCGCAGGAGCGCCACGAGGAGCGCCAGGAGGATTCGCTGCATGGCTCGAGATGTCTTTCGCTTCTCTCGGCGGCGGGCGAGGGGGGAAAGCGAGGCGGAGGAGGCAGGCCTTCTCAGAGGGCGGCGGGCCTTCTCGGAAGCCCTCCAGGCCTTCTCCGCGCCGTCGGGGAAGGCTCAGAGAAAACGTGCCCGGAGGTCGGAAAACTGCCCAGCCTTCTGAGAAGGCCTCCTCCTCCTCCTCCTCCTCCTCCTCCTCCTCCTCCTGCTCCTCCGCCCTCCTCCTCCTCCTCGTCCTGCTCCTCATCATCCTCTTCCTCCTCCTCCTCCTCCTCCTCCTCCTCCTCCTCCTCCTCCTCCTCCTCCTCCGCCCTCCTCCTCCTCCTCCGCCCACCTCCTCCTCCTCCTCCTCCTCCTCCTCCTCCTCCTCCTCCTCCTCCTCCTCCTCCTCCTCCTCCTCCTCCTCCTCCTCCTCCTCCTCCCCCAGGCTGGCCGCCGATTCTTGGATGAGCGGCGTGTGGTTGGAACAGCCAGGGGCGTCTGGCGCGCGCCGATGCGGGATTCCAATCGGCTTGAGCCGGAACGGCTACGGATCTCCTGGGGGCGGCCTTCGACCATTCCTTGGGGTCATCTTGGTGCCTGCCTCGCCGTTGGGCCGCTCTGAGGCCCTCTTGGGGGCCTCTCGAAGCCCGCCTTGGGAACCATCGGGCCCACTCGAGGCACGCCTGGGCAATCATCGGGCCCTCTCGAGGCTCGTTTGCGGCCTCTCGGGGTCAACATGGTGGCCGGGACGTTTACTGGAGCCTGCAGAAACAGGCACACCACTACCATTGAATAACATCTACTGTCTGCCATGATCCTGGCAAGGTCGAACAACTTGTCATGCCTTGGGGCTAATGCGGGCCTTCCAGGAACCTCCTGTAACTGTTTTAGCTTTGAGGACGAGTGTGCACGGCGCTCAAGCGAGAGCCGCATGCAGAAACCTACCCCTTCCATCCGAGCAAATGTTGGAACATCGCGTCGAGGCAAGAAACGCATATTGAAACGGCCCTCCTCCGGCAGTGTAGCTGCTGGAAGCTTTGCAACGAATTTCCGCGACGCTGTTACATTTGAGAACGACATCCACCCGCTTAACTGTTGAATGTTCAAGCCTCGGCGTCAACAGGGGGGAGGACATCTCGAGGGAATCGCCTGGCCCGCCCTGCGGACACGCCTGGTGGTCAGACTGGAGGAAACGATCTGGAAGAAACATGAATGGAGGGCAGAGGAGGAGGAGGAGGAGGAGGAGGAGGAGGAGGAGGAGGAGGAGGAGGAGGAGGAGGAGGAGGAGGAGGAGGCGGGAGGAGGGAGGAGGGAGGAGGGAGGAGGGAGGAGGGAGGATGAGGAGTGAGGAGGAGAAGGAAGAGGGAGGAGGAGGAGGATGAGAGAGGGAGCTGGAAGGGATGCGGGCGGAGGAGAAAGGAGAATAATGCAAATGAGGAAGATGACAAGGAGGGGAAGGAGGAGGAGGAGGAGAAGGAGGAGGAGGAGGAGGAGGAGGAGGAGGAGGAGGAAGAGGAGGAGGAGGAACACGAGGACAAATGAGGAGGGATGAGGAGCGAGAAGGAAGGAGTGAGGGAGGAGGAAAGAATAGGACAAGGATAAGAAGGAGGATGAGGGATGAAAAAAGGGGGAGGAAAAGGATGAGGACGATGAAGAGGATAACGGGAGAGGAGGGAGGAGGAGAAGAGAGAACGAGGCGGATGAGATGGAAGAGGAGGAGGATGAAGAGGATGAAGGAAGAGGAGGGAGGATGAGAAGAGAGGAGGAGGGGGAGGAGGAGGAAGAGAGGAGGAGGAGGAGGATGGGAGGAGGAGGAGGAGGGGAGGAGGAGGAGGAGGAGGAGGAGGAGGAGGCGGAGGAGGAGTGAGGAGGAGGAGGAGGAGGCGGAGGAGGAGGTGGAGGAGGAGGGGAGGAGGAGGAGGAGGAGGAGAAGAGAGGTGGAGGAAGAAGGAAGAGGGAGGAGGAGGAGGAGGAGGAGGAGAGGAGGAGGAGGAAGAAGGTGAGGAGGGGAGGGGAGGGAGGAGGAGGAGGAAGAAGGTGGAGAAGAGAGGAGGAGGAGGAGGAGGAGGAGGAGGAGGAGGAGGAGGAGGGGAGGAGGAGGAGCCCGAGCTGTCGGCCAGCGCTGGTCGGTCCCGTCCGCGCTGTGCCTCAGGTCGAAAGGTGGAATCGGCGTACGCGATGAGCTCCTGGCCGGACAGGGCCGCGGTGATCCACCGGCTACCCTCCTCTCCGTCCTCCTCACTCCTTCCTCTCCTTCTCCTCTTCTTCTTCCTACTCCCCCTCCTCCTCCTCTGCTCCTCCTGCCTCCTCCTCCCTCCTCCCTCCTCCCCCTCCCCTCTCCTTCCAATTCTGCTCCTCCTCCTCTCTCCCTCCTCCTGCCCTCCTCCCTCCTCTCCTCCTCCTCCCTCCTCCCTCCTCCTTCCTCCTTTCCTCCTCTCCTCCTCTCCTCCTCCTCCTCCTCCCCTCTCCTCCTCCTCCTCCTCCTCCTCCCTTCCTCCTCCCTCTCCTCCTCCTCCTCCTCTCCTCCTCCTCCTCCTCCTCCTCCTCCTCCTCCTCCTCGCCCTCCTCGTCCTCGTCCTCCTCCTCCTCCTCCTCCTGGCCGCGTCGGCCATGCCAGGAGCGGGGCCGTGGCCGCGCCGCGCTGGGCCGCGCCACGGCCAACCCGCCGCTTTTACGTTGAGCAAGCGCTGGCTGGCGTGAGCCGTCGCTTCTTGATGGCCGCGATCCGAGAAGAAAGCGAATCCGGGACGCAACGCTCGAGCAACCTCGAAGGCAGACAACCGGTGCGTGCACGACAGGCAAGTCGAAGGCGAGCACACAATGGGCAGGAAGAGAAGCCCGTGAGGGCACAGAGGAGTGCACAACGGCAAGGATGCCCCAGAACCTTCCACGCACCAAACTCGCCTCCCGCCCCGCCTCCTCCTCCTCCTCCGAGGAAGGGAGAGAAGGAAGAGGAGGAGGAGGAGGAGGAGGAGGAGGAGGAGGAGGAGGAGGAGGAGGAGGAGGAGGAGGAGGAGCAGGAGGACAGCCGTAGCCATGTCGGCTCAAGGCCAGTCTGGCTCAAGCTAGGGTGCCGCCTGCATCGTGATGCCCCAGGGCTAAACCAGCTGGGATAGTGCTTGCTCGAGAGCCGAGGTCGAGGTCGCAACTCTCGTCGTCGGTGGAAGCCGGGTGATTCACTACGACACTCTTCGCCTTCATGGTACAGACCGAGGCAGGCGTGGACTACGGGTTCGAGGCTGCATGATGCACTGCACGTCTTTTCACTGGCATTCGCGTTCTTGGTCACTTGCATCTTTGTCCTGGAGGTGGAGAGGTCTTGCTGCTGACCCTGCCGGCGCCTCGGGCTACCCATTGCGGTCCTACGTGCAATGTCGGCACGGGGACCGTTGCTTTTGCTGGTGCGTTTGTTGTGACTGGCCTCAGTTCCTCACTATGGTCCTCCAGCCTGGTAATAGAGCACGCTGTTTTCGTTGTCGTCTAATGGCACGCCTTACCTATTATTTTCTTCCCTGACGACATCGAGACGGACCGCGGGTTGGTGGTCTGATGGGTGGTTGTTCACCATGTATTCCATACTGAATTTGCGTTCGAACCTGAACTCCCAGGGGCGCCGTGGGGCAGGTGTGGATGCTCGACCTTTCCTTTCTGGATGCGTTGCAGGCGTTGAAGTTGAAGGAGGAGGATGAGGAGAACGTGATAATGATGATGATGATGATGATGATGATGCTGATGCTGATGATGTAGATGATGATGATGTTGTTGATGATGATGATGGTGATGCTGATGCTGATGATGCTGATGACGATGATGATGATGATGATGCTGCTGATGATGATGACGACGAGGACGAGGAACATGAGGGGGAGGGGACATGTTATGCATGCTCGCGTCATGTCTGACATCTCACCCCTCCCACTCATTCCTTCAAATTGCGCTAGTTTTGCTCAATCCGCCGACGGGTATCGTAGAGGAAAAATGAAGGGATTCTAGTATACTGGAGGATGAGGGAGAAGAGATGGCGGATCAGCAAGAGAAAGACCAGGAGGAAGCGGACGCAGATCGGGAAGGAGGACGAGGAGGAACAGCAGGAGCAGGAACAAGAGTAGAAGGAGCGGAAGACGCAGGAGGACGAAGGGGAGGAGGATGAGGAGGAGGAGGAGGTGGATGAGGAGGAGGAGGAGGGAGAGCAGCAGCAGGAGGAGGAGTAGTAGGAGTAGGAGTAGGAGTAGGAGTAGGAGTAGGAGTAGGAGTAGGAATAGGAGTGAGAGTCAAGCTAGCCAGCTCGAGCGAGTCAAGCATGGCATGCCCAGTCCCACCCGCCCTCCCACAACATAAGAAGCAAAGCTGGCACAACTGGGGGCCGAAGTCACACCGGCCAGCCGGTTTGGTACAGCTGATGCGGCCGCGATGGCGGTTGCCGACGGGAACTGGCGAGCGCGTGTTGAATGCCGCGCACGCATTGCCAGACGAGTCGAGAATGGCCCGGTACACCGCAGGAAGCCAGAGGTGGCCGGAGGAAGCCCGACGGTCTGACAGGACACCCCAAAGCATTTTTGTGAAAAAGCATTGGGTTTTTGATGTTTTTATGTTGAAATGCTTGCAAACACACGGTGTTCGGTAGGATTCTGACATGAACGCGCGAGTGTGCTCTTTGTGGTATTTTTTGCACAGGATTCGCGGCCTGGGTGCATGACAGAGCATCGCGAGTGCACCGCGCGATGACGTGAAATCGCTGGATTTGACCGAATTCTTAAGATTCCTATGGTTTTCCTATGATTTCAGCAAGAGAGCCCGGGCGGGAAATTTGTACAATTTTTGTGAAAAAGCATTGGGTTTTTGATGTTTTTATGTTGAAATGCTTGCAAACACACGGTGTTCGGTAGGATTATGACATGAACGCGCGCGTGTGCTCTTTGTGGTATTTTTTGCAATGGATTATCGCCGTGGACGACAGGACGTCCATGTCGAGAGGAAAAAATAAGAAAAATGTTGATTTTGTATTGTTTTTTACAGGTTAGGATGGGACCACCCGGATGCGGCCCCTATCTGCCGGCCTGAGGGGGGAGTAGGAGTATATTCTAATAAGGAATAAGGATAGGAGGAGGAGGAGGAGGAGGAGGAGGAGGAGGAGGAGGAGGAGGAGGAGGAGGAGGAGGAGGAGGAGAGGAAATGGGCGGAGCGCAAACGAGGAGGAGAGATTCGAGTCAAACATTGAGGCCCGAGCTTAGGCGAGAGCACCGTTCGAAGCGTCGACCCTCGGACCAGGCCAGCGCTGCACCGAAGCCATACCGAAAACACCCTCCGGGGCCAAACGGGAGTGGTGTTCATGTTGAGCAAGGTGCGGGCAAAACGGCAGCGAAGGGCGGAAATCCCGTCTAACAGAAAGTGCCGTTGTTAATACATGCTCCGCGTGCGGATCACGCATATTAAACATGCAGGGAGTATTCATGCATAAAAAATGCAGGGGGTATTAAAAACAACGATGGGTTCATGCGTAAAAATATTCATACATTAATCAGGAATAAAAAACCTATATGGCTTAAAATCCTGTGTTAACAACTGCCCTGTAAGGCGAAGCCGAAGCCAGGGGGGCCTCCGCCTCCCCGGACCCCCCTCTGCCCGTGGCCGCGCGGGGGGGACCTAGCGGGCCTGCCTGGGGAGGGAAGGGGGGGGGGGGGGAGGAAGGGAACGGGGGGGGGGGGGAAGAGGAGGGGCAGGAGGAGGATGGGGGGGGGGAGGCGGAGGAGGAGAGGAGGAGGAGGAGGAGGAGGAGGAGGGGAGGAGGAGGAGGAGCAGGAGGAGGAGGAGGAGGAGGAGGAGGGGGAGGAGGAGGGCAGGAGGAGGGGGGGGAGGGGGAGGAGGAGGAGGAGGAGGAGGAGGAGGAGGAGGAGGAGGAGCAGGAGGAGGAGGAGGAAGAGGAGGAGGGGGAGGAGGAGGAGGAGGAGGGGGAGGAGAAGAGGAGGGGGAGGAGAAGAGGAGGATGAGGATGAGGAGGAGGAGGAGGAGGAGGAGGATCCAGACACAGTGGCGAGATGGGCCGATGGCCCGCAGATAAGCCACGGAGGATGGGCCTGGGACGAGTTTTGCTGACATCAGCGGCCAAGGACCCCCAAGCAGGAGCGAAGACCGTGATGAATAAGCCCAGGAACAGCATCACCTCGAACAGGACAAGCTGCAGCTAAACGTTCAGCCAGAAATAACCCTCCCGCTCCCGACAAGACTTAAAACCACGCTCATGGAGGCCAGCTGTTCTATGCATGCGATGTGCCAGGAAGCCATTTTTCATCTACTTCAAGGAGCAACATTCAACACATACCGCATGAACGCGCCCCACACCCACTGAAAAAGAGAAGCCAAAGCCGACGGAGTCCAACGACGTGAGCAAGAAGGCAATGTTGCTGAGTATGAGCAGCACGCCGACGTCAAGCGAAGAGAACGCCCTCGCCCAGGTCTGGCGACGACCCCCGCGGCCCCCGAGGAAGATGAAGAGGAGCAGCACGAACTTCGGCCTCGACTCCTCCAGCTTGACTTATTACCTGTATCAACATCAGCAGCAACTATACCAGAAACAAGAGGATGGTCAGCCCGCTCTGGAGGAAGAGATGCAACCAAACGTTCGCGATGGACTCCCTGAAACTCCACCGCCTGGCACTCGTGCAGCTGGAGCTCCCAGGTGCTTCCACAGCCGCCCCCTCAGGGCCAGCCACCACGAGGGGCTGCACCCCGCTGGTGGGAAGCCAACCCGCCACCGCGAAGGCGGCACCACCAGCAACTTTAGGAAACAGGCGCATGAAACGACCGTCACGGTGCCCAGGTGTCTTAGCGGGAGTGCGATCCTTGTGAAAACGGGCGGGGCCAGCGAAGGCTCACCGGCAGCACCACCACGCCCAGCACCGGTGAACTTTGGCTGGTCCAGCGTTGCGGCAATCGGCCTGTGGCTGCACGTCGTCTCGGGCATATCGATGGAGGACCGTCGTCTCGGGCATATCGATGGAGACCCAGCGGCCGGACGAGAACAGCACGCAACCACGCGTGCAATTGCTTCCGACCTCGTAGGTGACCGGGCTCGGGACAAACTCGATCGCGTCGGCGCGCAAGCGGGAAGTCAGACCAGCACTAGACGAGGAGCGCCTCCTCGCCCGCTCCGCGTCGATGTCCTCCGCTTCGGAGTACAGCGCGACGT